GGAGGTTGAAGCAAAGGACTTAAGGCAGCAATATCAAAAACTGGGTGGATCATTGGGATGTCCCATTGGTCCCCAATATGAAAAGGACCCAAACAAGTTTACCCCAGGTGGAATTTAAACAGCCAAAAGGCAAAAATTACAATGAAAACCTGACCTGGAATCACCCAGGAGCAAGTCTGAAGGATTAAGCAATATCAAAATTGACAGCGGGTCTGGGTCTTCTGGGTGACTCCCCATTCAGGGATCCAGAGATCCAAAGTCATATACACATGTGTGGATAAACAGGCTGGGGCTATAGAGGGTGGGGAAGAAGAGGCATGTAATGGCAAAAACATGCATGGTGCATGGTGGATTACATGCTGGCCCACAGACAGAAAAGGGCTTTAGGGGAGATAGTGCAGTTTAAGGCACAGTGTGGGACGAGCTGAATTCACTTTTGATGAGAAGTGGTATTCTGAGGAAAAAATTTACTAACTAAAGTTTAGAAGGAATTCTCGTCTAGGAGGAAGGCCAAGGACAAGAGTCAACCTGAAAAGAAAATGACACATTAGCAAAGTGGGTGAGGCAGCAAATAATGGTGAATAATGGTAGGCCCCAGCAAAGATTTTAGCTGAGAGCTGTTCCCAATCCAACAAGGCTGCTTGATATTTCAATACAGATGGAGACCAAAGTAGCCATGGGGCAGTGGTCCTGCGTCCCACCACTGAATTCAGGGGCACACCTACAGGAGTCTCCAGACTTACAGAGGTCCTCAGGGGCACCTTCATCTCCAACCGGGGTAAAATAACAGACATATTATAGTATGGTTAGTAGGGACAGAAACTATTTTGAATACCATTCACACCCTCCTTATAAGAGGGAGGTAGGTCCTGCTACCTAATAATACCCAATGGAAACCAGCCTTATTTAGTACAAGCCTGAGCGCTCAGAAGGCGTGACTGGCTTTGTCCTCAATTAAATTGGAGCCCAGTGCCAATCAAACCACAGCCAGCTGCAATGATGCCTGTCAATAATATCTGGCACAGGGACAGGGACTGCATCTGTTGCAAAGGCATAACAAATGCCTCTGTAATGAAACCTTACTGACTTATTCTGTAATGAAACCAAATTGTACAATGACCATATCATGATATGATGTGATACTAGTGCTGTCAAGATTCAATTGTCTAATGTAAACAAGTCATGTGATTGTTCTGATATTAATGATCAGATGTATTGAGAAATTGAGTTATGGCCTCCTCGGGACATAATACCTATGGAAATGGCAGGTTTAGCTACCCACCAGCTGATTTCTACACTAAATAGTTTTGCACAAGTATTGATCTATCACAAAAGTGATCAAATAAATCAAGGCAGAAAAGAGTGATCAGGATAACATAAGAATATGAATGGCATTATAGGACAGATGAGTTGTTTATTTAAATGTATTCCTATCCCACACTGATTCCTCCAAATGTTAGGCACACTTATATTGATGCTATTGCTGTATCTGTTATGTAAGTACAATTCCAAATCAAAAAGGTATGATCTTTTTACAAAAGGAGTAGCTTGCTATATGATAAAGAATTTATATGGTCTCATCTCTGGTTCTTTTCACAGATTCTAAAACCCTTGGAACCTGACCATAAGAGGAGTGTCTTTGCTAGTTAGGAGCACCTGGGTTCATGCCTGAATTTATGCTCAAGGCTGGTTCAGACAGGGGGCAAGTTACTGAAAGACCAAGATTTGATTGGGGCGTTAAGTCATGTCATACTAGCTCAACTTCCTGACCTCTAGGAGGGGATTCGGGCAGAGACTATGAACACAGTGGACTATGTACAATAAGGTAATGGAACCCCCAAAAAAGTCTGGTGAAGTTCCCAAGCTGGTAAACCCATGGAGGTGCTGGAGGGTGCTGTGTCCTGTTTCCATAGGGAGAAGGCAGAGAAGATCTATATCTGACCTTGTGGAGCTCTCCATTTGGCTATTTTTAACTTATTTCCTTTACAATAAAACCAATCACATGCAAAACACTTTCTTCAGTTCTGTGAGTCTTCCTAGCCAATTACTGAACTTGAAGGGAGTTGTAAAAATCCTTCGGATTTGTGGCCAGTTGGTCAAAAGTGAGAGCAGCCTTATGGATGGATTGACTCCTGAGATCTGCACGAACGCTGAGTGGTTAGTGTCAGAACTGAATTGCAGTGCACTGATCAGTGTCAGATTACCTATGGAGCAACTCTGTTCTCTAAGACAAGGGAGAAAAAAGAGAAATTCAAGAAACAGGTGCTTACCTCATCAGACATTGAAATGGAACACTTTCATGGACTGTTGCAGAATTAGCAAAAAAAAAAAAGCAAAAAACAAAAACAAAAAACCACAAGCAAAATATAAGATGTAAAAGAAGATGTAAAAGGATTATGGAAGAAAAATGTTCCTCTCCCCCAAAATATGATGGAAAATGAACAGGGTATGTATTCTACAAATTTTGAGGCAATGCCAACTCAAACCTACATGAGAAGTTACAACTGGAAAGAAGTAGCAAGTAGATAAGGAATGACAGCGCTAATATGACAGCAGATTGGAAAATTATTGCATGACTACTAAGTGCAAAGCATCTCCGAAAATAAAGGCAAGGAATAGCATAGCAAAGGAAGACCTGACTTAGCATAGGAACCTCTGGGTTACCGTTCTGCCCCTAAGCCTTCCATTCAACAGAACTGTTTTCTCTGTCAGTCTCCACTTTATTAAACAGGGAGCTGCCCTGAGACTCGCTAAGGTCCTTCTGAGTTCAGGCTTGCTATGACTCTGTGATAGCAGAAAAGATGAGGAGTGAGTTCTTTGTGACAGGGATCTCACCAGTTTCCTGTTCACTCATGTCACATGCTCTGACACACACACCTGACATGTCATACACTCAGTCAGCAAGTTCTATTCATTCAGAAATAAATATACGAGCACAGTGCCTCCCCTTAGGGAGCACACCATCTCATACAGAGCACACGTCCTTGATAATGCACAGCATCTTCGACTGAATAATTTACCTGTTCATTATGCAAACAGAGTGCCTATGACTGCTGCTTTCTCAGAGGTATAGCCGGGCTGTGTCAGGTAGCAGATTCAGTAGGAGAAAGGCACAAAGTACAAAAGCAAAAGAGCAAACGGGGAGGTAGAGGAGGTGGAATGGTCTGTGTAGTACAAAGGACAGGAGGTGTGGATGAGGAGTGGGAGATAAAGGCAGAAATGTGAACTGAAACCAAACTAGTTCAATGCAGCTGACCTGGCAGCATTTGGCATGTCTTCTCTAAGAGAGGTAATGCAGGCACATGTTTAAGGCACAGTCTGTATATAGCCACTGAGCTGAGTCCTGGTACCAGTCTTGAATAATCAGCTTCACCTTTTCACATACTCATTTCCATATAGGTAAAAAGGTGATAATCATAGCACCGTACATTAGGGCTGGTGTGAGGGTTGAGTAAGTCAATGTCTGCAAAGCACTGAAACAGCCTGGAACATAAAGCATGGAATGTGCCAGCTATCACGAAGGTTATTAGCATTAGCTCTGCAATCAACAATGGTACTGAAAGGAGAGTGACATGATCACTTTCAGGTACTTGACTGGGTTGTGATGTGTAGGATGAGGGGGCCAGGGAGCTGGAGAAACCAGTGGAGAGGTCATGGCAACTTCTAGGTGAGAGGTACACCCAGTGTGGCAAATGTAAAAGAGAGAAAAGAGAAGGGAAACATATAGATGTCAGATGTGTCTGAGTGAGTCATCAAATCAACAAAACTTAGCAAATTTCTGGATGTGGCTGGTAATGAAAATGGAATAATCAGGAAGAAGAGAAAAGTATTTTATCTGAAAACATGACCAAGCAGTTGAAGTTACACTAGGAAATTAGTTCTGCCTGTTCTAGTCTATGGGCTTCTTGTTCATCTTGTTATAACCAATGGTCCTGTGGTCAGCAGACTTTCAGTTTGCTGAGTGGCAAATGACACATGCAGTAGAGGGACACATCTTCCTCTCCATGCATTTGAGAACAGAGTGAAAACACAAAACAATCCCTTAAAGTTCCTTGCATTCCCTAAAGTTTTAACTGAAGGGATAAACAAGATCAGCACCAGGCTGATAATTATCATCAGGAACTTAACATCCTGACATGTCAGAAGCCTAGGGCAGAATACCACAGTATGACGCTAATGATGGCTACCAATGATGCCAAACAAAATGTAGCCACTTTATACATAGAAAAGCAGCTATGACAGCTCACCAACTTCCAGCATCTGTTCTAGATTATAAAAGGCTCTCCTCTATTAATTTCTAAGTGTTCAAATGAGCATGTTCCACAGTTCCAGTAACCAGTGGTTAAATCAGAGCTCCCCCCTGCTCTACACTGTAATACTCTAGTCCTCTGCCAGGAAAATTCACTTACCTTGCCTACAGGTGACTTTTAACCCACTTGCCAAGCAATGATTCCACCACCTGGATGGCTACCTGGTTCCTCGTCTCTTCAGGAACTTTTTAATAACCGACTTCATTCCTCCTACCCTTTTAGTTAATCCTTCTCCCTGAAGTCTCAGACTGAAGTTCCTAAGGGCGACTTACAAGGAAGGACAGCATCAGAAATCAGTAAAATGGCTGGTGGGGATAGTAGGTTGTGTCTGAGCAACACACACACACACACACACACACACACGTACATGCAGTCTCTGAAAAGTTCTCTTTTCCATCTGTTTTCGCCCCCCACCCCCCAGCCCCCACCCCCAGCCGCCACTGGCACCTGCTGGCTGGGATGGGATTTCATGTCCTGTGCAGACAAGCGCATGGGCTTAGGAATCAGACCCTGATATACCGCTACATCAAGCCACCTCCTCCTGGAGTCTCAGCCTTGAGGCCGAGTTCCCAAGTCCTCCCACCCGCAGGCTCCGCCCCGCGCTCGCTCCTCCCAGCCCCGCGAGCCCCGCCCCGGCCCCACTTCCGCGGCTGCAGCCCCGCGGTCCACTCCACGGGCGGCCGCCGCTACCTGGTCCAGAAGCCGGTAAATGCTGATGCCCAGGGTCTCCACCAGCAGCTGCCAGTCGGCCCCGGCCAGCGCGAGCTGCTGGAGCTCGGCGCAGGCCTCCAGGAACTGCCCCTCCGAGAAGCCGCCGGCCGCAACGTCCATCCTCGCGCGGTTGCGGCTCCTGCGCCCGCAGCCCCGGCTGCAGAACTGCTCGTGTGGGCCTGGGGGCGGGGCTACAGGATGGCGCGGTGCGATTGGCGGAGACTAAGGGAGTGACGCGGAGGGGGCGGGACTTGGGGGGTAGGAGGAGCCAGAGTGGGGAAACCAGAAAAGTGGGCGGGGCTGACCGAGGGATGGGGGTAGGGCAAAGAAAAAGTAAAACTAGAAAAAATTAGAGAGGGGGGTGAGAGAGGTGGGGAGGCATCCAGAAGGAAGAGAAAGGATGAGGAAGGCATTAATGTCATCTCAGAAATACCTGCACAGGCCTCCCTGGTGGCGCAAGGGGTTAAGCACTGCACTAGGAGCTCCCCACATGGCGCAGCAGACCTCTCCTGTCTCACCGGCTGCTCCCCTCAGCAGTGTATTTCAGTCAATGTGCCTGTTCTGCTCCCCACTCTGTCTCTGGTGAATCCTCCCACCCCCCGCATCTCTGGCCTGTACCCCAGCTCTTGTATGCATAAATAAATCTTTAAAAAAAAGAAAGAAAGAAATACCAGCACAGCAGCCCCATCTCACTCTTCCCTATCTCTATTTCCCCAAACTTTCTCACAAAACTGGCTGAGATGCCTCCGTTACCTCCTATGAATCTGGTGGGGAAAATCTTTGAGTGATTTGGTAGACTTGGGAGATGAAGTGGGCAAAGCGAAAATGCATAAAAATTCAGGGGCCAGATAATAGAACTGTATTTGAATATTATTTCTATTTTTTCGGTTATGCATTTAAACCATTATTCTGAGATGGCATTCAAAGGATTCACCAGAAGTCCAAAGAAGTCCCTGGCACAAATAGGTTAACGAAGCTAATCCATTGTGGATCTAAAAGGTAATTTGCCACCCAGGAGGGTAGAAAATGATCTGAAAGGTTGCATTGTATTCACCCAGGATTTCTGCAGCTTGCATAATTTAGATCTTTGTGCAATTCAAAGATCTCTTTGTTTCTTCAGGTCCAGTGGGTGTTTTTTTCTACCAGCAGACTGTATATAGCTTTGAATAAAATAGTAAGCTTAAAGATCAAATCAGTGTCACCCCACATGGGTTCCAATAAATTCTGGAAACCTTTGTTTCTTAATCTGTAAACTGGGGTGAGAATTGTGCAGCCAGTTAGAATTAAGGAGGTAACTACATGAACCACAGAACATGTTTTGCATTAGTATATCAAAATGTTTCTCCTAGAGTACTTGAAAGAATGTATTGAAGTTGATGGCACACTACCTTTATCTCAATTTCCAAAAAGAGAATTTAAGATCGCCTTTGGCAGCAGAGTTACATTATTGATTTATTGCTATACTGGTTTATGAGGATGGAAGGAGTGTTGTAATAGTTCCTTAAACACACAAAAGATTAGAGAACTACTTTCCTGTTTTTATAATCTCCTTTAAACTTTATTGCTTTGATGAAGTTTGATCATTATAAAAACCAAGACAAATGTGAGTATAAACGGCATAAGGCAAGATAAGAGACAGGAAATTTAAATTGTACTTATTGCATGTGTTTAAAAGTATTTACCTACTAAACTCAGAAGGTAAATATATATTTGATATGTTCAAATTTACACCCATTTTTATTTTATTATAGTTAATGAAGGATAGAATCATGTTAGAAAATAGTTTTTATTTTGAATACTTATATTTTGTATATTTGTATATTTATATTTTGTATATTTATAAGCTCAGAGGTCTAGAAAAGGCTTGGAAAGAGGCCTAGAAAGACCTATTCTTTAGGACTTGACCAAACAAGATTGCTTCCCTTGTGAAAAACTCTCCAGAGAAACTTCCAGCAATATGGTAGCTGAAGCTCCTGACCTCAAACATAGAAATGCCAGATAAAAATGTACCAAATATAGTTTAGCTGAAAATAAAGAAGGGGTACTCTCCAGATTGCAGATAGGAAGGCATAAGCACCTGCATAACTTTAGAAGGGGGTGACTACACCCCACCCTATCCCCTACATTCCAGGTTTGTCTGTGGGGGAACTTCATTAGAGAACTACCCTTAGCCTCACTCATTCACTGACTCCTCAGGAGAAGAGGGGTGATTAAAATGGGTGATGAGTTTGGAAGACTGGGCTATGTGGCACATCTGCAACACTCCCTTCCATGTCCTCCTTCTTGGCATGTCTGCTATAGAAAATACACCTTCTCATTTGCCTAGATTATACAGTAAACTCAAGATGGCAGGATTTGCTGCCAGAATTGAGATTTTCCAATGCTGCCTATGCCTGGAGAGCAAGTTTGGTTATAGACACAGTGTTATAATTCTCCTGCTGCCGACAACCTTCCCTTTGTTCGATAAACTGCTTTATTGTACTAGGGGCAAAATGTCTAAATTTAACATCTGTCTCTAAATTTATTCAGAACACAGGTAGGGAAGAGAGAATGTTTTATTTGGGGCTCTCTAAAATCCTGACAGACACTCAAAGTGGGGTGTAAAAGGGGGTTGGATTTCTAATACTTACACATGGATTGAAGACGTGGCCCTGGGCCACAGCTCGGGGGACCTGGACCAGGAACTGACTTCTTATGAAGCCTGGATCCTCCAAGAGCTAGCTACTCCTTCCATTCCAAGAAAACCAGAAAATTCCTAGCCCATGGATCACGAAGATCAAAGAAAGTCATGCTTTTCCTGTGGTCTTAGGTCAAAAGATAAAAGACAACTAGGAGAACCCACGTCCAAAGCCTAAGAAGAGATGGGATCTAATTGTGTGTGTTTTTCACTGCATGGAAGTCACCAGGAGATAACTGAACACAAAATCTGATCTAAGACCATTGAAACCTCTGGTCTCCTGCCAGAGTCAAAGTAGGAACACTTTCACAACTAGGACACATGGACTTACCCAAGAAAGAACAACACCCACAGAGATGCATATACAAAAGTTGAGTTACAAAAACCTGAGAAATCAACTCTCCAGGTGAGAGAGTTAGCAGATGTATAAACAGGACCATCAGAACCCAAAACTACAGATAATAGGATAATATGAGAGTAATTATTTAATATATATTTATGATGAAGGGAAAGGTCTTGAAATAGAACATTCAGAAAAAGAGAAATGAATTTGAAAAAGAATCAAATAGAGCTCTACAAATGAAAAATCGTCATTAAATTAGACACTTAAAAGAAAGAACAAAATATTTGTTCTGCAACAATTAAAAAGAATGAAATAGTGACTGTTAGGTGAAGTGTAGGAATATTTTTGTTCTATTCCTTCAACTTTTCTATGTATGGAAATTATTCCAAAAAGACATTTTGAGAAAATCCTGCTATATGTGTTTATAGGAGACATCACAAAATAGAATTATACAAAAATTCTTAGTATACAGCAATGGAAAATATAAACCCCAGACAAATAAAAGGTGGTGTGGCTCTAAAATGTCAGACAAAATAGACTTTAAGGCAAGGAAAAAATTATTAAGAAGAAATAATGATAAAAATCACAACTCTTTAGGAATTCTGGATGGTTACATTTAGAGTCATTTCACAACATAATCAAATATATAAGGCAAAAATTGTCATCAATACAGGGAGAAATCACCTAATTTGCAATCATTGAACATTTTGCTGCTCTATTCTAAGTAGATTGATCAAGCAGATAAAAATTGATAAAGATATGAAAGACTTAATCATATAACCATGTGCTGGATCTTAAGGGCATTTACTGAAACCCAAGTCAATAAATAGGACACATATTTTATCTGCAAATATTCATAAAACATTCATTAAAATTGATACTCCTGTAAAGCTAGAAAAGATGCTTCAACAAACATAAAAAATCTATACCACTCTCTGATGGCAATGCAAAAACTAAAGAAAAGAAAAGAAAAAATATTCAACCCCTACCCCTATATATTTAAAACTACAAACAAAACAAATACATGCTTTTATTCCAGGAAGCTAGTCAGCAGTTAATTCCCTGCACCAAATTCATTTCTGCTTAAAATACCTAGAAAGCTTTTACTTTTTGTGATTTTTACTCACCGACAGACTATTTTTAGATTAGGATATTTAATACTTTTAAGATGACCTTCCAATTGATTGAAACTATTAATCCAAATAAGACTTGAATAAAAATCATTAAAGGTGTTCAACAAACTTAACATCAATTCTAAAATTCACAGGAAAGGTATAAGGGGCAAGCAATTTAAAAAAGTAATTTTTGAAAGTAGGAAGGAAAAAAGAATGCTGCCTTATCAGATACTAGGATTTTTTTTTAATAGAGGCATGTTTTATTTATTTGTTTGTTTGTTTGTTTTGTTTGTACATGCACTGGGTACAGTCAGAAGCACGGGAGGGTGAGAGAATTTACCAGAGCCAGAGCGGGGAGCAAAACAGGCAGAAGGACCGAAGCACATTGCTGAGGGGAGAGGTGGTTGGCAGGGGAGGTCTGGCGCCATGGCGGCCCCTCCTCTGGTGGCCAGAGAGCAGCCAGGGATCAAACCGGCGCTGCAGAGGCTGCGGGCAGCTCCGTAACCCAGCACTCAACCGCTGCGCCACCGGGGAGGCCCTCAGATATTAGGATTTATAACAAAGAAAATGGTGTGATAAAGACCCATTTCTAGGAAAATAATAATAATAATAATAATAATACTTTGGAAAAGCTTTCTACCAAGAAATGAATCCACATGCATTTTGAAACACAGCATGCGAGAGAATGGATAATGGTTTTGAAATGACTGTGTTTAAACAATGGTGTTGAAATGATGAGGTATCTTTATGAAAACATGAGATTGCTATATTTTATCACCCACTAATATAAATTTCACGTATATAAAACAACTAATTGTGTAAGGTTAAATGTTGAGATTTATAGAAGATAATGCACAGGTAAATAAACCTTTATGGCCTAAAAGTTCCAAAAAAAAAAAAATAGTTATGTCTTAAGACATAAAGCAACACAAACCATAAAAAAGATTGTTATCTATATTAAAAATTAAGAACTCTTATCCAAATACATACTATTATTAAAACCCAACACATAGATGGGGAGTAGGCACTTACTACTCACAGTCAACAGAA